ATGTTGGAGAAAATCCAGCGTGATCGGCTTTATAAAGGGGCTCGGTAGGTATGAAAATACTGCAAATAGATGTTTCCATTTGTCTTATTAGTTTGTTCATTGTTGCTAAAGTGTGAATTTGACACAGTTTACTAAAATAAAGCAACCTCTGCTTTTCTGCTTAAAGATACTGAAAATTTAGTAACTGTGTGGCTGAAGTTACATCCAATGTAGCGCAGATTCTTGGCTTGTGCATTATGATCGTTCAGTTGTTTTGATTCTTCTTACAGCTCTAAGAAAAACACCTGTATTGCAGATCATAATTGGGAATCTGTTAGGATAATTTAATTTGGTACTCATCCCTAGCCTTAGCTTTTGACCATGTGTTACACTAAAACTACAGTGCTTTTTTACAGGTGTTTTTCTGATCAGGGAAATGATCAATACATGGAAAAATCTAGCAGTGATTTTATGTCAGGAGGCCTTTCCATGGCAATAGTATATGGCTGTGATGACAACCATGTGTGATATTTCATTATATTTCTGTATTTATTCCTTGTCTTTAATTTTTTAAAATACATAAAATTGGTAAAATAATATGGTTATAGCTTGCACTAAATGAAAATACTCTGTAGGGTAAGAGCATAATTTGAAATACAGCTCATTGCTCATTTAGTAGAAAAATAGGGAACCATGTTGGAAACAAAAAAAGATGCTCAGACAGAATTACACCCCCAAAATGGTACAGACATTTTATAGCATGGTTAAACTTTCTTACAGATTTTCATAGGATAGGAGCTTTAAATATGTAAACAACTCTCTAAACTTGATCTGTAGATTCTCTGCTGTTGCAGAGTCCTTGGGCATCAGGGTTACCATGGTCTCCTCCATGTGCATCACCCTTCATTCTGCTGGGGGATGAGCTACTTTTCTCTAGGTAAAGGGTTTAGCTTAATGCAATACTTGTGTGGTGCAAGTAATAAAAGTAACCAATGCCCTACAATATGAAGGCATTCAAACTAAACTGTGGTCTGTTCTGGTACTTCTCTTGGTATCGCATTTATTATTTTGAAATCAGGCAGTATAAACTAAATTTGTTAAGGAAATCAATATCTCAAATTGAGTATAACTCCTTCCTTCCACCATATGCCCTCCATATGTCTTCTGCATGAAGCCACACAAACTATAGATGGTGATTTCTCATGTTAAAATTATGTATTTTAATTATTTAATATGTATTATTTAATGGGGCAGTGTTTCTCTGCCATAGATGACAAAACTGAGCACATCTCTTTTATTGCTGCATCTAAGGCTCACAGTATAATGTGTCATGTGTCAACATAAAGGGACCAATCAAGGATAACTTTAATGCAGCTGCTTCTTAAATTTTGAATCCTTGATTTCCAGTTTTGTCTCAGAGGCAACGTTTTTTTTAGTGAGTTTTGTAGGGCTCTCGGTCTAGGCATAAAAGCTATATTCTTTTAAAGCTCATACATTATTATATAGATATGAGTGATAGTCTTGTCACGGGGCCAGATTTTTTGCAATGCAAATATCAAGCATATGCAAATGCTGGAGATAATGGAGCTGAAAAGATGCCTTAGAAAAAGCCAAACCTATATATATTATTATTATAATATTATATATTATATATAATATATATATATATATAATAGTTCATGACCAACTCATGATCTACGCCAGACCCTCAGAGTGTGGGCAATTTTAGCTTTCGCGCTAAAGATGCTTAAATGGACTTAACAGCTACAAAATGGTCTTTTAAAAAACTGAACTAAATCAATGTCATATGTCAGTCATTTTCCTAACTGCAGTAATTGCTGTAGTAATGATAGATGTTAACCCCCAGGATGTGCTTTTTCTGTATTTGGGAAAAGACTGTAAAGTTCATTATTTGTGAGAAGTGCTAGAATAAAAATTTTTGGTGCACTGGCAGATCTCACAGATAATTGCATTCCTCTATTCCAGTGTGCAAATAAGTGACTTTTCAGTTAGATGTCTGGAAAAAAAAGTTAAATCAACCTGTGTCACAAACCTAACAGAATCATTGTTAAAAGGCTTCCTACTAACAATGACTATGTGGATTGAAATTCCAGTCTCAGAATCCTGGCTGCATGCTACAATGATTGAAGATTAGGGTGGCAGCTCCCAGGTAGCATGGGTAAGGTTTTTTAAACTTAATTTCGCCAGGATGGGAGGCGTACCTGCTCTCACACACCACATGCGTGCCTGCCTGCCTCCCATGAATCCCCCCGGTGTTTTGAGCTGAGCAGCCAGGTTTAAAGCAGAGCTGCTGAGGAGCAGAAGGCAGGTTTGTGTTCTATTAGACGGCAGCAGATTGCTCTGAGAGGCAGCCTGGGCTGGCTGCCTGGCCCCAGCCCGGTGGTGTTGTGCTTGGCAGGGGCGCAGCGCTCAGCTCCAAGCCTGGCAGCTCAGCGTGGTGGCACTGCAAGGGACGGGGCTTGTGCTGCACCAGGGACACAGATATTTAAGAAAATCGGATTTGCTGCTCACCAAAAAATTTTCCTGACTGAGCACTTGGAGATGGAGCTGATTTCATGGGTAGATGTAAGCCGGTCAAAACCACACATTTGGCAAATATATTCCTAACTGCAAAAATATTGTCTGACTCCATCCTAAAGCTATTTGTGGAGAGATTTCCATTGCCTAGTGTATTTGATAGTCTATAAAAATTTGCATCTGATCCTTTGCATCCCACTGTCTTCATGTTTAAGTTTTAAGAGAGCCTAGGTGATGACAGAAGAGCAGTAGCACTTACACTCTTCTCTGGTGTACACTCTACTTTGAAGTAGATTGTTATTGAGAACAATATATTTTTAGAACAGGTTTTGTGCAATATAAATGTAGGACTGTTTTATACACTTTGTTTTTTGCAAAGAGTCATAATGCCAGGAAGATTCCATGATAATGCTTCTGCCCTCAAAAATCAAGTGAAACTTTGCAGGAAGCAAATCTAGCAGGAAACATCTGTTGCAGTAGGAGAAGCGCTGCTGCTGTGCTGAAGAGTGATGCTGTACCTCATCAGCGAGGGGTTATTTTCAAAGAAAAGTGTAGATGTGTTACACTTGCAGAATAATAGCTACATGAAGAGAAGAATTTTTGTCTTCTCTTATATATGAACTTCTAACCTGATTTTTCTAAAGGAAAACATGTTCTCTTTTCTCTAGTGGATCCTTTTTTGTAATTTTAGCTTCTGATTTAAATGCTCTCAAGCCATAAAGTTTCTTCTTTAATTTTTTATTTTTATTTTTGTTCAGCAGTGAAGTGTTAAAGTCCATAGGAAGCAAATCTGATTTATCCTTAAAACAATCATGTGTCACTAATAATTGACAGTTAATTTCAGTAACACTTGCAATTCTGTTCCTCAAAGGAAAAGACTAAAGGTATTAGATGTGAGGTAACTATCATTGTAGCTCATTCTTCCTTCTCTGTTTCTTTCTATGCAACTTGGATGTAACACTCTGCTATGGGGAAGTGCTGTAATGATTTTAGTTCACAATATTTCCGTGGTTTGTATTGCATTAAAGCATCTCCATCCAAATCATCAGTTGTGCTTGTGGGCATTGTGACACTTTTATTACATTCAGAGTGGATAATGGCTGGTCTTACCAGTCTTACTTAATTTTCTGCTTTTAAAGTCTCTGTCAAAACTAACAGAGAAAGAGTGCTACCAGTACCTGTTTGAAGACCAAACATGACTTTTATTGCCAATAAGAGCTGAGCCCTGAGGATTTTGGGTTGTAAATTTTATGTGTAAAATGGTAGCATTTGAAGTGCTGCTATTTACTTTTCCTTCATTCACAGAGAAACAGCCAGTTGAGCTCAGTCTAGTATACAATACCTTGATACTCATTATGGGGAATTCAATCACAGGATAATTTAGGTTGGAAGGTATCCCTGATGGATGATTAGTCCAACCCCAGCTTGCTCACCAGCTAGGGAGGGTTTCTCAGGACCTTGTCTGGTCAACTTTCAAGTATCTCCAAAGGTGGATTTTCTGCTGTATCTCTGGACAACATGTATCTGTGTTTGCTCACCCCCTCACAGTGGAAATTATCTAATAGAAATTTACCACATTCAGACTAGTGTCTGTTGCCTCTTGTCCTTTCATCTTCAGCTCAAAGAAGAATCTAGTTCCTTGACATCTTTGCTAGACTCCATTGGTAGCTAAGGGGTGCAATAACATTCGCTTCTCGAGGTTGAATCGGTCCAGCACTCTCAGCCTTTACTAATCTAGCAAGCCTTTGACCATCTTTGTGGTCCTCTCTTGGCTCTGCTTCAGAATAGCAATGTCATTCTGGCATGGGAGAGACCAAAACTGAACAAAATACACCAGGTGTAATCTCAAAAGTGCCAGGTGGAACTGTAGGGTTTGATACTTTCAAGAAAGCTCATGCACAATTAATAGTTTTTGGCCATGGAAAACATTCTATGTCTGACTCTTCATGTAAGATTTATACTGGTAACATGTATGTTCTTTTTTTGAGTCATTCTTGTCATTCTTCACCTAATATAGATTAAAGGAGAATAAGACCCTTTAAAACTCACCATAGTCAAAAGACCAGACTCCTGATTTTTGCAAGGCTAAGTCAGTTTGAATAGCAATAAAGAATAGATTTTTGTTACTTGACAACTGAGTTACAGGTCTGACTTGCACACAAAAGACAAAAAATGAGGATATTTTTCAGTTAGGTGTCAGGAAGTCTTACCATGTAAAAAAAAATAAGGATTGAGTTTACTATGCACTGCATAGTAAACACCACTCAATTTAAATATATTTCATCTTTTATTTCTTCTTTCAATTAGACAATGTGTATTTTGCCTATGGTTCCATGGAAGTTACATTGATGTGTAATATATTTCTCTGATTAGCAGCTAGTCTCCAATTTTGCTTTGACAGTGCAGTGAGCTGTTGAGGTGCTCTGTGAAAGTTAAACCGTGTTGAATTACCCAGAAGTAAATGTGTTTTTTCCACATTTCAGCTTCTCCAGTTGGTAACGGATATATCAAGCCACCTGTCCCTCCTGTTTCTGGTACACAGAGAGAAAAAGGCCCTCCAGCCATGTTGCCCATCAGCATTGACCCAGACAGTAAACCAGGCGAATATGTCCTGAAGAGCTTGTTTGTTAACTTCACTACTCTGGCTGAACGCAAGATTCGCATCATCATGGCAGAACCCCTTGTGAGTAAAAAGAAACTCCATGTATATGTATACTGTGCTTTGAATTTGTTTCAAAATCAGGCTTGCTCGCTGTGCAATGAAGAGTATTTCGCTTGTAATCTGCGTTGGAGTTTGATAGTGTTCCCCAAACTGTAAGATGTGCTGCTTTGGCAGTTAGAATGTCGTGGGAGAGGGCAGAGGTATGCAAGACATGCCAAAGAGGTGACATGAAAAGGAATTAATATTGAATTTCTGTTTGCAGCATGGGCACACGTTAATGGGATTGAGAGGCAGAAGAGGTGTCAGCCAGCATAGATTTCACAGCTGGGAGAGCAGTCACTGGAGTCAAAATAGATTAGAAAATGCTGAAATATGATAAAAGCAGTATTTCTGAATATTACAGGTTTTCAGCTAAAACATTAAAATGGCTACCACTGCTGACTCCTCTTTTAGTTCTGACAGTAGTAGATTTCATAATCTAATAGAGGGCTATAGCACCTATTTTCCAGATATGAAAAAGCATGCAGCACTTGAAAAAGGATTACAACCTTAAAAGGACATTACAAGGTCTTGGACCATGAGAGAGTCATTGTCATTTGTATTTTTAGGCAAATTTAGCACACAAGTATGTCTGTTACAATTTGCCTTATGTAACTGATCTTCCAGGACTCTGCTCATTTAACTTGAGATTACATTTTATATACAGTCTTGCTGTTTTGATTAAGGAAGAATATTTCTAAAACTTAATAGTTTAGATCTGATGAGATTAAAAAAAAAACAAACTAAAAATACCCAGAAATATTTACTTCTGTACTATAAGGTAATTTTAATAAAATCTTAGAATCTTTTTTTTATAAAGTCCAATGTAGAATACTTAGTTTAGTTCCCCATTTTCAGGATATTTTGAAGGGCAGAATTAAAACTTTCTTTATTCTGATGACATCTATTTAGCTTTGATTTAGATTCAGAAGCATTTGATGTTTGGAAAGTTTTACCAGGCTTTCTTCTGAAACATTAGCTAGATGCAAGATGACAGAACTATCTTACATAATTTGGAATAACACCACAAAAAGCTTACAGTAAAGAATATTATAAACAAAAATACAGATTTTTCTTCTTTGATGAGTTCCCTCCAAATCACAAAAAGTAGAATAACCTGACAGTTATACTGTTCTTTTAAAAAATAAAATACCAGTATTTATTATCATCCAGTTTTCATGTGATGCCCAGAGGATGTCTTTAAAATTTTTAAAGAATGTATATAAAATTATTTGACAAGATCAGGAAAACAGTCAGAGGACCAGTACTGAGGATATACTTTCATTGCAGCACCTGTGTTACTCTTAAGCATGAACGTCTGCATTTTCATATAACATTTCAGGCATGGACTTATTCCCATTTCACCTTGAGTTGCTGTGTGGTAATATGTTGTTTTTTTCACACTGAGAAAGTATTATTATCTGAATGTTGATCATATTCTAGAGGTTGTTCAATGGAATTTTATTTGATAAATTCAATGTAGAATGTAGAAATATTTCAAGAGACTGGAATGTCACCTTCTTGTCATCATTTTCAGAACGTATTTTTTACAGGGGTCTGACCATGAGTCACTAACAATAATTCAATTACATACTCACATCTCATTAGTACTAATAAAACTTACATGTCATGGCATGCTGCTGTTTCAGGTTGGCTGTGACCAATGAGTAAGCAGGATTCTGTAGACATTCAGTCAAAAGGATTTTGAAATAATTAGGTTGTAATGAAAGAAGTGACAAGGGAAAATGGCAAAAATTATTCTCAAATAACAGCTAAGAATTTGAGTCTACCCTTTTTGCGAGGTGGCTGCTGGATGTTGAGCAGCTTTGTTCCAACATTTTACTTTACTTACTAGAATTGTGACCAAGAAGTCCCAAGGATTTGCGAGACGATGTTTATAAGTTGATGGTGAAAAGCTACCTTTTGGCCTTTTTTCACAATTAGTTAGTCAGATGTTGAACTCTTTGAAGTTTGTGGTCTAATTAAACTCAAGTGTACTTCAAAGAAAGTCAAACTTGCACAGTGCTCAACACTGAGATATTTCTAGTTTGATTTCTCCAAGTCATTACAAGATATGACAGTTTAATTTTATAATGAGCAATGAATACTTAGGATTTCTTCTAGAGAAGATAAAATGATCTTTTTATAATATTGTTGCCTTTACATCTCTTTTATCACAAAATCTAGCTCACATTGAAGCTCTGAAGTTACTGTGGTTAAATTAAATACTAATGGATACCTTTTTTACCTAGACCATTCTTTTCATACATGTTCTGCCAGCTTATACTTTCTGATTATCATTGGTCTTATTTTTATGAATTTTTGTCTCAGTTTCTTTGGGTTCCATATGTCCATGTGATATATCAATCTCTTTCTTTTGTGATGCACACAGAGCTAAAGTGTAAATTACAGTGTTCTGACAACCATGTAGGAAAACCACGTTTGTGTCACGCCGTGAGTTGCAGATGCCAGAAAGGCACTAGAAATCTCTGCTATTTTCTAGGGTGTCAATGAAGGGCACAGCAAACCCCACCCCTTCCTGCAGCAACATGAAGTCTCATCTGGGATAGCAATATTCCAGGGGGAGAGAAAGCAGAGGGCAGTGACACCTACTCCTCCTGCTGCCTTGGCTGGCAACCAAGTATCATTTGACATTTTGGTTACTGGATCTGGCAGTGATCATCATAAAAAACACGCTCCCCACTTAATATATTTTCTAGACATAAATATAATGTCAGCTATCCACTGCTAAGTCTTTAACAAGTTAAAATGGAAAACTTTTGTTTCCAGATTTGACATTTTTTAACTTTGCCCATAGAATATTTTATTCAGAATTTCAGGTCAATTTTTCCCTTTTTAGGATCTCTGATATATAAAAAATACAATTCAGTAATTACAAGTTCACAAGTGGCTAATTTTTAATGATTAACTACTGTACCCAGATTGTCAAGTTATATTATTTCAAATTAAAAGTACTTGGCAGCAGACTTCATTAAAGTAGATTGTTTATAAAATAAAATCCAGTTTATAAAATTAAATTCCCGTAAATGAAATGTAAGTATTTTTTTCTTGATAATCTTTAATAATTTCCTGGTTCTTTTCTGTAGATAATGGTTCTTATTTGTAAGAAATATTAAGATTTTATTCCACAGACCTTTTTCCACAGCTGATTTAATTAATATTTAATTTTAATCAATTTTTATTCTAAATCTTCTCTGCATTGCTTCACTTCTAAATACTATTTGATATTTTATTACTGCTGATTTTTTTCAAGCAGTGATGATCTTGAAATGAAGCTATAAAGAGGAAGCCAGGGAAATATTCTTGCCAGTTTAATTGAAAGAATATGTTTCATAGCTTTGTAAGGAGAAATCCCAGAAAAAAAGTTTCCTTTTTTAGGACTGTTGATTATCACTTTGGGTAATAATTCATCCTGTGCATACAGAGCACGCTAATCTTTAAATAAGCCTTTCAGCAGTACTTACACACAGCTGTAGACATTGATAAAACATAGGGAGCTACAGGCATTGACAGTTGTTAATGGTTAATTTAGCTGTTGGTAAACTTTCATTATGCTTTTCTCCTGCAAGCATCTTCTTTTACTAAGCTTGTCTAAATTCAGGCTCTCTCTGAATACTGAACTCAAGAACAGAATTTACTCATTATAGGATTGGGACTATAAGCATATTCATGAATTCTGCATGTAACTCTTTCTTTTTATTAGGTAGGTTTAATCTCACCATTAGGAAAAAACCCTGAGAGGAGTGGTGTGGTTGATACTAGTGTCTTTATTACTTCCATTTCATTAGAAGCTTGAAGGCATTAAAGTAGAGATCTATTTCAAGACAGAGCTGGTGGTAACAACCTAGCAGATGGTTCAGAAGACTTTGAAAGAAAGGAAAGAATAATGCAAATTGCAGAGACTGACCAACCAATATGTATAATGGGACTGGTTTCTGATTAGCTTCAGTCTAGGCTTCGCTTTCTCTAGGCAAGAGAAGAATATGCTAAGAACAGAGAAAAGGTTTTTTGGTTTTTGTTTTCTGAGGACTGGGCTGTGATAACTAGTAGGATTTATATAGGCTATGATAATACCAAGCAGTTTTATCCCACAGCTGTAATGCAGAATTTTCTGGTTTACGTGGACTAAAACTCCAGCTGCATCACACAAGGTGAGAACTCCTTGTTTGTCACCTGTAATGAGACACGTTACCCTTACACATGTTTTACATTTGAAGTCCTCATTGATAGTTTGGCTTGTACAGGGACTTTGGACCCCTGTTTGTTCAGAGTGAATAGATACTAGTTACTGTAAGGAACAGGTAATTTCCTGGAAAAGAGGAAAGGCAAGCTGCCTTGCTCTGTTCTAAATATTCACTCAGTGTATGTATTCCCAGACAAACTGACAATTACAAAATTTTATTTGAATACCTTTATGCAAATATATATTGAAAATTCTGTTCTCCTTTCTCATGAAAGTGTGTCAAATCAGTACCAGTAACCAGGAGGAAAAGGCTTCAGGTCAAATCACCTGGGGACACCTCTCATATGTACTTATATGGTACAGTTACAGCCTCTGAAATAAACAGATAGCCAAGAAAGTTCCAAGTAACAGAATTTTAAAGAAAACTACTGGCAGTAGTTCTCAAGTTCACTTCAAAAATACACTTTCCTCACTTCTTTTTCTGTTCTGTGAAGACAGGTGCACAGTTGGTGACAATAAGTATCTACCTGATGTTAAAGCAGTAGTGGACAGCAGACCATGGCCATGGTCATTTGCTGTCCTGCATTATTCCTGGCTGGCTGGGTCTTGACAGAATGTGGCTCCTGTTTGCAGAGGTCTCTTCTGTGCTTGGAGCAGCCCTGCAATTACAACCCTAAATTTATTCAAGCCAACTGATAAGGGCTTCCTATAGGCTTTATTAAATTAGGTCACGTTATTCTGAGTGGGTAACCAGTGGTCAGGGCCCTAAGGGCATTAA